TTAGATGTTATTTGAAAAAAATGCACGCAAAATATTAATTTTTACAATAAAATAACGGGAAAGACACTTTATGAATGAAAATTAATGATAATATAATAGGTAATTGAGTCTACTTAATTGAAAGATCACGTCTAACAAGTTGAAAAAAAAAGTCAAAATAGAAGAAATATGAATAAAATTGCATGAAATCGAGCTAAGATGGGTCAAGAACGGGGAGGGGCGGGTTAGGGCAGGTCGGAAGTAGATACCCATGTCCAGCCCCACGCTAGTGCGGGTCGGGTAATACCCGGCGAGACGGGTTCAAATTCCCATCCCTAATGTGCGGTGATCCAAATGCGAAGTGAACGTTAGAGGGTGAAGAGATGGTGGTAATTTTTGTCTATAAATTAGTGAATAGTTCTTTTACGTAGGGAGGGTCAAGTTGAGACAAAATAAACAACTTATGTCATTTAACTCGTTTGCTGACCAAAACATGCACGAGCCATTTGGCTCATACGAAAGTCTCAAATGACTCTATTGAGTCATTTCCAAATGCCTCATATCTACGGACTATGAATCTTTTCAATTATATCCTTGCATATCTATTACTTATTTTCCTTATCATTCTTTCATCTATCACCATTTTTTTGTTTTCACCAAATTTCACAAGCGGCGAGGAGAGTCATCCATCTTATGGTCTCCATCATTTTCTCGCGACTCTAGCTCTTCGTGTCATTGGAGATGTCGGCATTAAAAATGAGTCATAATTAGCCTAAACGTGAGACTTCTGGAGTCTTTACCTTTTACATAGAAATTTAACATAAAAATTTCATTTAAAATTAAAAATGTATTATACATGACTCATAATCATAAATTTTGTTGGTTGCAAATGTCTACATTCGCAAATATTTATATTTCTCAAATGTTTATATTTGAGCAAATGGCCCATTTTGTAAATGAGTAACAAGATTACAAGAGTGAGGGACTCGCATGACGAGCTAAAATTCAAAAGTGTAAAATTAGGTGAGAAGATCTCGCTTCCAAAACAGTAATACCCTTTTACACCTTTGCATTTTTAACATGAAAGACAAAATACCCATTATTATAGATACATGTCCGAATTCAGATAGATTAGATAGATCCAATCCAACCTAAATCTGATCGTTTATACATGCACATACAGTATTTTGTATAAATCGTCATTTTTTATTTTAACATATTTAGTAATTCAAGTATATTTATAGCCTCTCATGAACTAGCTTTTTTTATTATTTCTCTTAGTATTAGTGATTTGCCATTTATAAATTTTCACTTTGGAATGTTGATATATTTGCGATAAACATAATAGTTGAAAAGATAAAAGAAAAATGATTCTTTGTGGATATTCACTGATACTCGAAACTCTATTGAGTATGAATATAGTTTCCATTTACTTCCCAAATGTTATATGAATAAGAATATAAATAAAATCCGAACTAGTTAAAGTAGGATAATTGGCACCTTGCCTCAATCTGTGCTATCCCTAATTTTAATGGATCGTGTGGAGGTTGAGATTTTAAGTGATGTATTTAGCCAATACATGTAATGTTAAGATTACGTTTTCTAAAAAAAAAATTAACTAATTTTATTGTTAACAAGGGATTGTCTACTCAACTTTTCTTTATAACAAAAACACAATCTAAACATGGTATTTTCCAAATTCATACATTTAATCAATACATCAAATTACATTATACAAATTACTTTTTTTTAAAATATACATAAATTGATTAATTATATGCATCAAATCCCAACCTCCAAATTCCATAATACCTGATACCCATTTTTAATGGACGAAATCCCAAAATACACATATTTTTAAAAAAATTCTCAACATACACACATTATAATTCCCCCCCCCCCCAAATACACGTGTTTGGGCATCATCGCGGCTGTCATCCGCAGTGATTGCACTCATCGCGGCAGACGAAAGCGGTGAATGCATTATCGCGGTTCACGGCCACGGTGAATGCCTGACCTAACAACGAAACTTCAAATGAACGTAATTTTACGCTCGATTATCCGATTGTAGCGATTTTTTTTTATTCTGCATAATTTTTCAAGATCTTTCAATCTGCAACAAGCCTTCATCTAAAAAAATGTCGTTGTTACCCCGAACGAGCAATTTTTTAATTTTGCCAAACTTTGGAAGGTCATAACTTTTAGCTCCTTAATCCGAACATCGTAAAATTTATTTTGATTGCACATAACATTTTAAGAACTAAAAATTTTACTGGGAAAGAAATTTAAAAAAAAAATATTTTTGGGTATACGAGATTTTGGGAATAACTTTGCCTGTACATTTCACAAATCCACATCCATTCCAAAATTATTGTTATAATCAAAATTTTAGTCCTTAAAAATTATGCGAAATAAAAAAAAATTATGACATTTGGATTGGGGAGCACAAAGTTATGGTCTTCCAAAGTTTGTCAAAATCGAAAAGTTGCTCGTTCGGGGTAGCAAACGAATTTTTTTGGGATGAAGGCTTGTTGCAGATTGAAAGATCTTGAAAAGTTATGTGGAATAAATTTTTTTTCACTACAATAGGATAACCGAGCGCAAAGTTAAGTTTGTATGAAGTTTCAGTGTTACATCAGACATTCACCGCGACCGTCAACCGCGGTGATGCATTCACTGCTTTCCTCTGCCGCGGTGAATGCATTCACTGTGGTTGACGACAGTAGTGATGCCCAAACATGTATATTTTGATAACTAGCATTGGGCCCGGCCCTTTGGTCGGGATTAGCAAATGTTGTGATAATATATTCTATATAAACGACATAAAATGAAGACTATTTGATGACCGGAGGAAGACATATTGGCTACATCATTAACACAATCAACCAAGTTGTTCCTGCTATAATCACACACTAGATAATTGGCCCGAGCGTTGCGTGGGGATCCTATATAGTTTTTTTTTTTCTCTCCATATTTCTGGGATCATTTGTGATATTTGATTTTGAAAATGTACCTTTATATTTTTCACCTAAATAATTCAAACACTAAATCATATCATTTGGGAGAATTAATTATGAGATTGTTTGGTTGGATGTAATATAGAGGTGAAATTTAGAAAATTGAATTTTGAATTATTCAATTGAATAATCCCATAATGTTTTGTTAATAATTTGAATATGTTTGATTTTGTAGATCAATCTATTTTTTTTACCTAAATGGCAAGATTTGGGAGAGATTTAGTTTTTATAATTGAATTATTGACGAAATTAACATAATAGCACATATTAAATGTATGACTCTTTAAACTTACTCAAATTTTCTTAATTAGAAAAATCTGTGTAGTTTTGTTAATGAGAAGTCACTAATACATCATCCAGCTGAACCTAATTAACTAAAAATTGACTCGACTTTTATCGGTTCAGATAAAGTTTCCCCTTATTTATTTTAATTACTTTCGTATTACTTTTATTGGTTGTCTTCTCTAATGGAGACTCATCTTGCATTTATTGCAATTTCCATTTTTCAAAGTGTATTTATACAATTGTTATTGTTGTTGTATTGGTAAATTCAGAATTTTCCTTAAATACTCACATATAACTCGTGTGATAGAGTTTTGTATTTTCATGTATGGGCAGTGTGTTTGCTTTGTTTTGCAGGAGTTCTTTCCATTGCTTTGGCGTTTGTACGCAATCCAGATGGTTTATTACTCTCATGAAAGGGTAATAGTAAGGAAATTCTATCCTTCTCTCTCTCTATCTGAGTCAGTTTCGCGTCATTTCGCTCCTCGGGGCTTTCATAGAGCTGCCCACCTCGTGGCATAAAACTAAAAGGCTCTTTTATCGGGAGTCTGGTTGCATAGGGACTACCGTTCTTTATTTTTGTTTGTCGTTTTATATGTTGTCTGGCCATGCCCTGAGGACTTATCTTGGATTAAAAAAAAAATTGACTCGACTTAATATAAAGTTATGTGCTTAGTAAATATGCGCTATTGAAATTGATAAACTGTTATTTTAAATAACTTCTTAACTAAATCTAGAATAATAAATTAACTTACCCTTTTTACAATTTTCATGTATGCTATAAATATGATATGCGAATATTGTGCAATAATACTAATTTTTATTTGAACTTAAATTACATAATGATTTGATACTTTATCTAACATTGATATTAACATTCGTTATAGGATAAATATAAATCCCTCAATGTTTTTTTTTCATAATCCACAAATCTTCTTTCTAATCAAATAGGCTACCTTCCCTTTCATTACACCAAGACCCATCCCATGACCTCCTACACGTGGAGGAGATGAGTGACTGGTGGCAACAAATGTTAATTAGTTGAGCTCTATACATTCCTTCATTTCTATATTTGTTACTGCTCTTATTGCTTTGATTTCTTTCATCATACTCTCTATGACTCAGTCAGTCTATCTACATTTGCCGATTATTTACCCGTTGGCATCTACATCTTTTGTTAATCACTTGTATCTTTCCCCCATACTATAGAAAGTTCCGTTGCTTCCCCTTGATCTTTCTCGCTGAGATTAAGTTCATATTTTCTGCCAGAAATCGAATTTTAGAGTGTGAGAAAGGGATAGAAAAACCACTTGGTTCACAGGAACAACATCATCTCCGATGACCCACCCACAGTTGCTACCTGAGTGATTTTTTTATTCCGGCCATCATCGAGAATTCTAAACGAACTAAAGAGAGTCGACCAGTTGCATGCAATTGGAATTCAAACCCCCTATTCTCAGTAAATGAGCAGAAGTGTTGGTTCACTGCTTCTGATCCTTCTCTTATTCATCTTCCTGTCGAAATCATCGACTAATTGTGGTTGCTTCTTCCAATTACCCTCTGATCCTGATTGTTTACCCTCTTATTTGATTACCCAATTCCATCGGCGACAAACCAGATCGAGAGCCCAAAGTTTATTACTTAAGCACGACAGCTCTGGATTTTGGGATTGGGGAAGCCTCTGAACCCGCTGGAGAATAAACAACAATCAATTAATTGAACATGCAATCCGCTGGAGGCGTACAGACGATGGTGTGTCTCGAAGGATTCGTCGGGATGAGGAATCGATTGAAATCGATGACGTCCAGGCGGTCTTTGACTTGCCCTTCTCTCCCCTTCCTCTTCTATAGGATGATTGCCAAGAGTATTGCGGTTGCGCTGCTATATATAGGCCATGCACCAGAGTGGGGAAATAGGGTGATTATCAGCGGTGATCCTATCATCGACGACTTGCCTAGCCGCCGAACAGTTCACATAGTGAGATCCCCTGCATCCCCTTCCAAACCCATTAGAGTTAGTCTGGGAGAGGGGAAAACACGATCCATCACCTACCAGAGGTTCGCCTGGAGGTAAAGAAGAGTAGAATTGATGGCGGCCGCTAGGCTAATCCGTCGATCTGGGAAATCTCCGGGGTAGGGAAGGTAGGAGTAAAAAAAAAAAAAAAAAACAGGTTCGAAAAAAAAAAGATCCCTGAATCGACGATCAATATTGATGGTCCGCAAGAGGTTGGTATCATCAAGTTACACTGGACCCCTTAAGCTAACTCGCCAATTAAATATACTAATAAGCATAAGGTTGGTATCATCAAGTGACACAAATGCAAACTGGTTGCATAAAGAAAACAATCATCGAAGCTGCAGTAGTAATAAAAAAACGGACAATAAGCTCTTGTTGCCGCCATAAACTCACAGAAAGCCCTGCTATTTGAAATTTAAATTCCATTTTCAATGGACGATGACAATCAAAACTATGTACAATCTAAAAGCTTGAATTTGATAAATACCAAACTCCTCCCACAAACACGCAATTGTCGTTCGCTCCTATTCGAAAGTGCAATTACTACACGCTGCCAAGAAAAACACATAAAATCAAACTTTCTGCGGTGGTAAAGACATGGGCAATAAGCCGCTGATGTGTAATAAAGTCATACAGATACATACTTAACTCGAAATTACGAATTACTTTGGAAAATGATAAAGAAAACTACGTAAAATATAAAATTTCAAAACTCATAAGAATCAAATCATTCACAAACAACCCATAGTATGGAAAACACAGTACTCATGATATCCAAGCTTCTAAGTGAAAACCTTGCACCATTCTACACAACCCCATGATGGTTCTCTCCATCTTATAGATACGAAGCAATGCTTGGTGTCATTTGGAACTGATTAGATGGAGTCCCAGCATAGAGGAAAGTTCGTGGTTCCATGTAAGATATAAATCAGGAAGGGAACATAAAACTATGAAGCAAAAACAAAGACAACACTTGATAATCTCTGGAAAAGAATGAGCCTTCAGGTTGCAGCATCTTAATAGCCAAAAATTGAGGTTCCCGTTATCACAAACACACAAATGCAGTATGTTCCTATACAAAAGTGGCACAAATACTACATTCTGCCAATAAAAGCATAGATAAATGAACTTATTGCGGTGATAAACACATGGGCAATAAACTGATAATGTAAACAACTCACACAAATGTATGCTATTTTCAACTTCAAATACCGATTGTCTTTGGAAAATGATAAAGCAAACAATGTACAATCTAAAAGTTTGAATATTATAAAATCCCAAATCGTTCACAAACATCCCATAGTCTTTAAAAGTTCAATACAATGAGGCTCACTGTTAATGAAGTGTGTGTGAAAATTAAGGACACACTTGGAGGTAATTACAGGCTTTACATCTCCATTGTATAGGGAGCTTTTCCTCGCATGTCACATAAGAGAAGGAAAGAGTAGGCAATTTCTTTAAAGTAGTTATCATATGAAAAATTCCATTTTCGTGTGGTGAGGTATCATTGTTGTTGTCATTAGTGAATGAATGATTTTAGATTATTGGTGGTTAATAATTAGAAGTAAAGAATGGAGACAGGCTAAAAAGGCCCAAAAGAAAACGACTGAAGCTAGGAAAGGGTCAAGAATTACACAATCACCTAAGGGAGTGGAGATATTAATTTGGGTTTTCAATTTCATGAACTAAACCACTGTAGAATGAGTTAATAGCAGAGATAAGCAAAGGGAAGCAAACATGATAGTATTGTAGTAATCTAAGTAAGAATCTCCATACTTTGAACATCTATTCATATTTTGACAGTGAAAATTGGGTTTAGACAAACTAATTAGCTCTCAATTGACCTTAACATAAAGCAAACTCTTTACAACCTAGAATCAGAATTGACATTGTCACAAACAAACAATTTACTATTGACCACAAAGAGCACGAGTTCATCAGGTTTCTCATGAGTTTACCTCATTAAATAAGCCTGCTAAAGTCGAACAGAAACATGAAAGTATAACCATTTTTAAGCTACAATTTAGAAAGTTCTCAATCTAGCAAACATAAACTTCCTATCAGGATAAGTTGAGTGAACGCCGAAGAGAGACATATCTGGCACGAAAACAAAAGGTCAATAGCTAAGAACTTGTCAATAACTAAGCGTAAGAAGCATCACAACAAAGAACAACTCATATGTACTTAAAATCAATTACAGACGATATTGACTTTCACTTACCATCCTCAAGACGCGCGCTCTCCGCGTCAACTTCAGTTGTGATGACATATGATCTCAGGAAAACATCGAACAAAGAATAAAATGAATGTATTACATCGGGTAGTAGCATAGTTGGATTTTTTTTTATAATGGTGACATCAATTAATTAATAATCAACAATTAATTAATAGTGGAATTGAATGGAGGATTTTATGGGAGGGAAGAAGTGTCACAACCGCGACATTTTGGCAGCATTGCTGCAATCGTTGAAGACGTGTCAACTAAAGCACAAATAGTCATTTTAATTAGATCACAGTTCTCCTCCAAAATTCGTACGTTTAATTCACCTGCATGTTGTATTTATACATGTTGGGGAAAGAGAGCCACAACCAGTGTTGTAATCCCTTGAGGTAGTGCTACAATAAATATACAAACCTAAGAAACCGAGAGACTAAATGCCATGGGTGGCCTCTGTTGCTTCTTCATTCCCATGAGAGCTTTGAGCCGGCAGAAGAAAATATCATTTTAAATGATGATCAATCCTAGTGTGGCAAGTGGGGGCAAAGGTCGACACTTTGAAGAGGGAATACAATAGTCAGTCTCCTATATCCGAATTGGAGAATTTTCAACCTAGGTTTCCTGCAAAAACCGTGAAGAATTTTGGTATCACAATTGGAGAATAAGAGCCCCATTTCAACCTAATTCCTCCTTCCTTCCACCGCTTCCCCTGATTCCTCTGATTTAAATTCCACTCTTCGCTATTATTGTTGTGTTTGGATTGCTTATTTTGCTTTTGATGGGTTCGATGCCCAAAATGGGTCTTGCTTATGTGCATGCAAGGAACGGATATAGAAGTATGTGATGAATATATTCAGCTATGGATTAGCCTCCTTCTAGAGAAACTTGGGGAAAATGTCGACACATATGAATAGGTTTAGGATGGTCCATACCTTTGGCCTTTGAGAGCAAATCAGCAAAAACAGAGCCGATTTTTGAAGGCACAGAGCGAGACGGAGAAGGATTGTTTGCCCGGTGGTTGGATTTTGGAGGGGATTCTGAGGCCCGATGTTGGAAAGCACTGAGGGGGGAGAGAATGGTTTCTTCAGCTTGACAACGGGATTCGGAAGGGAACTTCCACGGCCGACACTGCGATTAAGAAGAATTGTTCACTCGGAGGCGGGGGTACGGTAGGGGATTTCCGGCGCCGACGCAGGATGATTGAGAGTGCGGCAAGGATTCAGACTGGTGGGTTGGTTAGATTTCTCAGTGTGGAGTAGCGAGAGAGAGAAGGATTGAGGAAGTTACCAGAAGGTCCCTCCGGAGTGTGCGGGTTATTCAGCACCGGCTGACGTGGCAAAAACGATTTATTGACATTGGTTTATAGTGTTTTGTAGATTTTTTTATAACGCGTGTATTTTGGAATTTTTTTTTATAAAACATTTGTATTTAAGGATTTTTTGTGTTTTTAATACCGTAGTTGGAAGTCTTGGAGATGTACTAAGCCGCCGGTAACTCTTAACTGAGAACGGGAAAGAAAATGACATTTTAACCGCGGGAGCCGTTTGTTGAGAGTGGTTGAGTCCTCGCTCCGTTCCCTCTCATCTCTGTCAATCGTCGAGTTGGGGAGCTGAGTTGAGTGCGACTCATTTTGACTTGGGTTTTTCGGGCACGCTTTGGAGAAGCTCCTCTCCCTAAAAATCTCTAGGGTTGTTGCTTCTTCAGCTTCACTTCCCTCTGGTTTCCCAGAAGAAAGAAATGTTGTTGTTTCATTTACCCCCAAGGACTTTCTTTCTCCATCGTTGAATTGGTTGGTTCCTGACCTCCTTCACCGTTCTCAGGTAATGCATTTGATTCACTGAAACTCACTCCCCCTCCTCTCCCCGGCCGCGCCATTTCGCTCTGCCTTGCGTTCTAGATCTAGGAGGGAATGCACCTTTGCAGAAAGACTTTGCTGTAGCGAAATGCATCAAACAGATCAATTCAGCTCTTTTTTTCCGCTTTTGTGTTTTGCAGCTCAAAGAGGGTGGTTGTTCCCCTTGGGGCATTTCTGGGTGGAGATGGATAGTTACAGTAACAACAATGGCGGGCAGCGTTTCCATCGAATACCTCGTCAGTCTCTTGCTCATCTCAGAATGGAGCCCCTGGTAAGTCCTTGCGAATCTTTCATGTTCTGGCAATAATAACAATTTTTTAATATGAAAATAGCATCATGGATTTTGTTAAATTTGGACTAAACCCACTGGTATTAGTCATTTCCAATAACAACAAAAAATTCTTCACCTTTGCTATTGGATGATGTTGTAGACATTTCCTTTCCCGTTGTGAAATTTGCTAGTTACAGTTTCAGTTGAATGAGTCTAACTGTAAGTTATGTTTCTAGTTCGAATAGGTGTGCTTAAATCTTGGGTTATGCTTATTGGACTATGGTTGATTGCTCACTCGATTTCGATACGGAATGCCTGACATCTACGTTCACCTTTTTGTATTCCAGCTCGACGACAACCTGGAGCAGTGGCCGCATCTTAATGAACTGGTTCAATGCTATAGGACTGACTGGGTGAAGGATGAGCACAAGTATGGACACTATGAAAGCGTTGCCCCTGTATCTTTTCAAAGTCAAATTTTTGAAGGCCCTGATACTGATATTGAGACTGGTAAGTGTGAGCAAGAGTTGCTAGAGCCTTTTGTTTGACAATACTGCTGTGTCTGGATTGCACTTCAGAGTTTGAACAAATCTCTGCAATCATATAGGCCTTTGTAAGCAATTTGTGCAACATTAGTTTTCTTTGTAGGCATGAAACATCAACTTGACCATTTTTGATACTCATAGAAACTATTGCCCAAAATTTTCTGTTTA